GTTGTTCCCGTGGTTGGTGCAGCGGTTGGTCCCGCGGTTGTTCCCGTAGTTGGTCCAGCGGTTGATCCCGCGGTTGTTCCCGTGGTTGGTGCAGCGGTTGGTCCCGCGGTTGTTCCCGTAGTTGGTCCAGCGGTTGATCCCGCGGTTGTTCCCGTGGTTGGTGCAGCGGTTGGTCCCGCGGTTGTTCCCGTAGTTGGTCCAGCGGTTGATCCCGCGGTTGTTCCCGTGGTTGGTGCAGCGGTTGGTCCCGCGGTTGTTCCCGTAGTTGGTCCAGCGGTTGATCCCGCGGTTGTTCCCGTGGTTGGTGCAGCGGTTGGTCCCGCGGTTGTTCCCGTAGTTGGTCCAGCGGTTGATCCCGCGGTTGTTCCCGTGGTTGGTGCAGCGGTTGGTCCCGCGGTTGTTCCCGTAGTTGGTCCAGCGGTTGATTCCGCGGTTGTTCCCGTGGTTGGTGCAGTGGTTGGTGCAGCGGTTGGTCCCGTAGTTGGTCCAGCGGTTGATCCCGCTGTTGTTCCAGTGGTTGGTCCTGTGGTTGGTGGTCCCGTTGTTGGTGGACCCGTGGTTGACGATGCTTCATCGACAGGTCTTGAGCGGACATAAACGAATACGCGTCCAGTTGAATTAGCGTCTTGGTTGCTGTAATATCCATGATAGCTGCCTATTATTCCAGGAGCACGTAGTCCTACCCCCAAAGCAAATATGTCTTCAGGGCAACCTAGATTAATTATAATGATAGTGAACAGTAAAAATCAGCACACGGAAGCCAGGAGGTAAACTTCACGTTTCTATTCAAAATATTTAGTAAAAATCCTTTTTTCTGGATCTGCTTTGTACTCGGTTATAGCACACAAGTAGGGAGGCAGTATTTATGTGATTTAAGATCATAATAACTACCATGGTTAAGTCCTGAAAGATGTTCCAATGCATATATGGTATATTAGTATAAATTGCGTAAAAGAGGTATGGAAATCGAAAGTAATTTCCCTTATTTGAATCAATTTTTTAAGTTATGTGCAACGCTTTTCAAGTGTTTTCTTGGCTCTTGAAATATTTTGACAGAAATAAATTCAATCATTTAGCTGTCCGCCATCTTGGATTCTTCTACAAATGCATGTTCTGTTACTACCAGGATCACGCAATGGTCATTATGAGCAAAAATTATACACTTCAGTGAATATTGAAATAATAAACTGTCTGACAAAATTTAAATATCTGCTAATTGTTATTGTATACCTACAATCTCGTGCAAAAATAATGAGACTTTTGATACATCGTTCTATTCCTGTCATTACTCCCCCGTCCCTTCTATTAACCGTTGAAAAAAAATTTGACCTGGCTTTTATACTTTTATATCGTTTGTTCAACATTGTTTGTGGGGGGGAGGCAATAACTTAGATGTCTCTATAATTTTTGCACGAGAGTGTAGTTTTTCGCAAAGTTCTTCGTCTTCACCCGAAACGAAGGAATTTTAGACGAAGTAGCCTACTTTACGAAAGAGTAAGGAATTTCCGGTAGTCAATGTTTGAGACGAAGGACTTTTCCAACATACAGCGCGCTATATTTTACCGGCCAAAAAAACGGGCCGGTATAGCTGATCCATACATAATCCCCGAGCGAGCGGCGTGAAGTGCCGTTACAAGGCGTAAGCCCGGGGAAGCAATGGAAGTAATTCCTCTCGGGTATACCCGTGAAAGGAAAGGTCAAAATTTTATCAATGATCGCGGGCGCGTAATTATGTTTCATAGGTGGGCCTCCCACTGACCTCAAACGTATGGCGAATTTCGGGAGTGGATCTGTTGAATACTTGCATTAGTGGCAATAATGCATTGAATACAACATTTTCATTGCATTATTTTCGTAAATTGCCCTTTTTATCAATTTAGATCGTTCAAATTAAGAGAGAAAGCGAAGTTATTTTCAGGAGAGAATAGCATAATAGTTATTTGAAAGTCGAAACTCAAAGTTTATCGATAAAAGCACTTTAGTTTTACGAACTTTTTAAAACGTTTTGCGAAGCGCAAGTTGCGAAATTTTCCATTAAATTGAAACTTGAATGTACACGATAGTGTGTTATTATGCATATAGTAACATACCTATCGTATGCATTTGGGAAATTGATAATTTTCTTAATTGAAAGTGATAATTTCAAGCGTAGCCGTTTTTTTTCAATTTTTAAAAAATATGAAAAAAGAATACAGTGATCGTGTTACCATGACAGCCACTTCATATCGTTCCTGTTTCAGGAAAATTTAGCGCTTTTCAAGCTTTCAGTTCTTTCCTTTCAAGCAAACGAGGGGTTTCTGCATGCATGTATTTCTAGTCTGATGTCTAGCTCTGTTGATTGACTTTTCTAACAAAATGAAAAGGAAGCTGATTAGAAAAACATCTCAATCAAAGCGTCGCATTTTGTTGTTTCATATTTATGTAGATAGACTTGCCAGAGTGGACTTTTCATGCTCTAGATTAAAAAATAAAGGATTGGTTACTGGTCCAACCGCGTTTTAATTTGAATAAAATAAAAGACATTGTTGGGAATTTTATAAGCTTTCTAGCAAGGCGAGGGGTTTCTGCATGCATGTATTTCTAGTATGTACTAGCTCTGTTGATTGCCTTTTCTACCAATAAGAAGGAACCTGATTAAAAAAACATCTCAATCAATGCGTCGCATTTTGTTGTTTCATATTTATAGATAGACTTGTCAGAGTGGATTTTTGATGCAATAGATTAAAAAATTTAAGGATTGGTTAGTGGTCTAACCGCGTTTTAATTTGAAAAAAATAAAAGACATTGTTGGGAATGTTATAAGCTAGGTAAGATTGGGTGACTGCCAACTTTGATGCACTCTCAGTCTTGTTTGATCCGCTGTTAAAGTAGTCAAATACTGACGTATAGATTTTAAATTTCTCGTCTGAAGTGAAAGGAGATGTCTACTCTAGCTTTTTCTGTGCCGGTCAGCATTTCGATTTCTTCCACTTGGACGAACTTAGTAAAAAAATACGTTAGATAGAGGCAAAATCCGAAATATATTATCCCGGAGCCAATAACAGGAATTGGTATAGTATGGGAAATTTGCACTAAAAAGGAGAACAAAGAACAGTTTTGCAAAATTAACTGAGCTATATAATCCATTCCCGAAACAATTCATGCTGATTGGTTTTGCAGCACTGGTTAAATACACAGTGCGAGTGTACATTGATGCATAGTTCGTTTAGATTTAACAACTGAAACTAGCTTCATTTTTATACAAAACAATCACGTCATCAATTGTGTAAACTAATTTTCAATTCTTCTTTTTGTTTTTTGAGAACGGTTCATATTTTTCTGCTTATATAAAACGAGTTTGTAGTGAAGACAACGAAATAATTGGTAACCGGAATTAAGGCGAAACAATAGAGCAGTTTCCCGTCTATTATTTTCCCATTTTTGCACTATAATCCGCAAATTACTATAATAGTAATAAATTTGTAGTTGATGTTCTTGGGCAATGAATATGTTTTAACCCTCCTCAATACTCATTTTAACCGCGTCGCGACTCCCTACACTCGGACCAAAATGAGCATAGCTGACTCGAGCCCGATAGATATTTATGCCCGTAAACATCAACACTATTGTTATATTCATTCCCCGTCAATCCAAAATTTGAAAAATTCCAAATAAATATGCCGACCAACAAGAGTGCAAGGGAACGCAGCTGCCCTGACAACTCAAATGCTTTGTATTCCTCACCTCAAATATCGCTTGCCACTCAAGCAAGGTCGGTTCTCTCACGCGAGTCCTTTGTCAATCGGTTGTGAATCATTTTTAGGATTTCTGTAACTTCAAAGTTTTGCTTACCTGCGCCATGTGTGGAGACAATTCCTATACGAGCACGAGGTGAAGCTCCACTTTCATTTCCCACGTTAAAACCAATTTCAAAACATCCTGGTGTAAACATTGGGGTTGCAGGCTGTACAAGAGAGTCGATCCATTGCTGTGATGTCATGTTCAGAATTGTCTTTTCGAAAAACAAGCTGCGTAATGAGGGGGCTGCCACAGGAATTTGAATATTAAATACCACTGACGTTAGACAAATCTCAGTGACATTAGCACTCCAAAATTGCGAATTCAAGAAGCCCCGATTGATTCCTTTTGCAGTCCAAATTTCACTTTCATAACTCCAATTACCCTAAAAATAATTTTAAAAGTTTTACTACACATTTTTAAAATCACATCAGTATTAAGATCGTCTTTAGCAGGAAAACTAGCAGATAATAGACGAAACAACCATAACTACCGTATTTGGGATAGGGTGCCTACTAAGGCGTTCACTTGCCACTGTTGTACATATAGGAATGGAACTTCTGAGGGTCTTAACCTCCTCCCCCACACAAAGGAACACTTGTCGCTATATTGAAGCTTCATTTTATTATTTGTACTTCGATCCTTCTGAGGGAAAAAATTGTGGGCATATTGCTTTTGACGCTTCATGACGCCTCTCAACGTCTTTAGTTGTTGATTGTTAACTCTAATTCTGATTCAGAGCATAGAGTTCAGTGAGTCACTTTTATGCTCTGATATAACTAAAATTTTGATCTAGACAAGTCTAGACAAAAATTTCATCACAGCTTGAAAGAGCATCACAAAATTAGTAATAGTCCAAAGTTTCGTTGCGAAATGTTGTAAAATGCGGATAATATAGCCCTGCGAAATTTGCAATTTTCAGTTATTTTGTATTACAAACGCGAAATTGATGCCCCAACACCCGATTGGGCTGTCAATTTCCCGTGCGTAATACAAAATGACTGAAAAACGGCAAACTTCGCAGGGCTATATTATCCGCAATTTACAACATTTCGCAACAAAACTTTGGAATATTACTAATTTTGTGATGGTCTTTCAAGCTGTGATAAAATTTTTGTCTTGATTAGTTATAAGGGGAAAGGTCCATTACCTGAATTTACCTGAAAATCTACCGAAAATAGCTCATGAGCAATTATCCGGGGGTGTTCCACCTCCCCACAGTCGCTAAGGCCCTGTTCATGGGGGCCAATGGATTTTCTGCCAGTTTAGGCCGGAATGAAATTTGGATGTGCGCGGGCACAGTACACAAAGTTTCGCACTCTTAAACTTTTCAGGTTTTGTGTCGCCTCAAGGAAATTCAATAATACGTCAAGTATCATGGCTTTATCAAAGCACGATCTTTTTTACTTATTCGCTTACATGGGAGAAATTCAGAACGATTAGCTTAAATTTCAGTATGCTTTGCCCCGCCACTACAAAGTAAATTTCTGCCACTCCTCTGAAAAATAGTCAATCCCCATAACAGGACACCCGAAAAGACAGAGCAGGAATTATAGTTAATGTATTATTATTATTACCAGGGTAGTATAATTTTGCAAGATACCGATGGACGTCCATCCTACTCCGCTGCACCATGGGACTTGATCTTGAGTCCTGCAAATGTCGCTGTTAGGCTCGTAGCCAGCGGGGTTTCTCGCTTTGATGAAATACGGAGAACCTTGTTCGCTGTCAGAAATAAACAAATATAAGCAAAAGGCTAAAAAAAAATGTAAACTAAACAAATATTGGACTAATATAATTTTTGTCAATTTATTTGATTGTAATTGGTTAAAGACGTGGTTAATAGTTGGTTGAAGATTGGTTAAGAATCGGCACGGTCGTGCCAATTAAAGACGAATCAGCACGCAAACGAGCCCAAGTGAACTCCGAACACGCATGTGCGTTCAGAGATTTAAACCCAAAGTTAGAAAACAACCTAAAAATGTATATTTTCTGAGCAATTATCATACACTGAACTCCTGTAGGTATACTGATAAATTTAAATTAATCTCAGAAATTACCCCTAAAATTGATCACATTGACGCGTACTGCATTGCTCACTCGAATACAAATTTTGGAATATATATATGATGTTTCCTCTCATTCAGCACTCGTAAGATTATCTAAATGATCGCATAGGAAATTATAGAGATCGGAAAGTATTAACGAAAAATATCGCACGAACGTTTGGCGATTAATTTCACAGAAAAAACAATTTTTCAATAAAAACAGATCATAACAACGTACTTGAACATTTTTCAAGTAATTGGACGATTTGAAACACTGGAACACGGAGCAGCATAACTCCGGAACAGCATAACTCCGGAACAACAACAAATTTTAATTTGTTAAAAATTATCAAATAACCGGAGAGGGAGTTAATTATTGTTGGCATAATTATTGCACAAAATCTGCCTTCATTCGAAGTTGCCGATAGCTACTAATAACGAACAAAGATCGGTCTCAGCACTCGGCAATGAACTTTCCATTTTCCGACTTTCGTATAGCAAGACTCGAGCTTTCCCATTCGCCCACAATTTTACATGGCAAGGCTTTCCAATGGACCATTTGCATTATAACAAGTCTAGATAAAAATTTCATCACAGCTTGAAGGAGCATCACAAAATTAGTAATATTCCACTAAAGTTTCGTTGCGAAATGTTGTAAAATGCGGATAAGATAGCCTTGCGAAGTTTGCCTTTTTCAGTCATTTTCTATTACAAACTGGAAATTGACAGCCCCAAAGGGTATTGGGTTGTCAATTTCCCCCGCGTAATGCCCATAAATTTCAACGGCCGTTCTGTACAAACCTCGCCCTACGGGTCCAGTCTGTACAAAATTACCTCGGTCCGATATTTCTCTGTCCGGACCTCGCGAATTCGGTTAATAAGAAGTTGGTAATCCGTAAAGAAAATAAACACCCAAAACAGCACATTGTTCCTTTATCCATTCTTTGTTGGAAAACATCATTTTGTTGAACCAGTCTTTTTTGTTATACTAGTATATATATCTTCATAACAGTCAAAATAATATTAGTTGAAGCAGATATATAAAGAGATTTAAAAAGACCTGAAGACAAAGCAGTTTAGACAAAACCAGTTTTATTTGGCCACTTCGACAATATAGTGAGTGGTTCAAGTAAAAACAAAACGTTATGCACAGTATACGGAAATGACTTTTTTAACTCGCTCAGAGAGCGTTTCAGAAACTTTACGATATGAACACGTTTCAGAAACTTTTGAAGGTTTTGCTTTTACCAATGGTAAAATATATTTTTTATCATTAAATGTCCGATTGCTTGATCTGCTTGATTGGTTGATTGAACACGTCAATTGAACAGTTCGTTGATTGATTGGTTGATTTAATTATTTAATTATTTAATTACCGTTTACTGTTCAGTAAACAAATTTATCGAATATTGTTAAGAAGGATCCACAGTAATTAGCTGTCGCTGTGGCGAAAATCCTGCCTTGATTTATATATATAGTAATTTGATTTTTAATATTGTTACCACGGCAAAGTTCGATAAATTAAAAAATTAAAAAGTTCATTTTCCGTATGCTGTACATAACGTTTCGTTTTTACTTGAACCACTCACATATAGAAAATTAGGCTGCTATAATGTTTGGTCGAGTTTACATGCCGCTTAACACAAATTTTCAACATGAAACAATTATTGTCCGTCTGGTTCATTTTTCATATTTTAATTACATTATTTGTCTGAGTCAATTAACTCGATTCTTTTTGGTTAATGTTTAATCGGCACGCTTCCAAGTCCGCGGGAATTCTGCGCGCAAATGTGTGAATGCAGGAATGCAAATAAAAGTTTTAAAATTGAACAACGTGGAATGTTATATTTTCTGAGCTCTTATTACACCCTGGACTCTTATTTATTGTCAAGTACAGACGCAAAGATGAAATGAAGAATTATGGAATGAGGTTGAGCATGATCTGAGGAATTGTGAAGCCAGAGGTTTGTGTTATGAACGAATCCAAAAGCTGAGTTTGATAACACAAACTAAAGGCTTCATAATTCTCCATAGCTTGCGAAACGCAATCAATAATTGTTTTATTATTTATTTAAAAGGTGAAGAAGACACTCGCACACTTGGGTTCAATTCGTTGAATGAACGACCAGTTCTTTTTCCCTAATCTTTCCTTTTTTCTTTCAGAAATACCTTAGGATGTTCCAAAAGCTTTCGTGGCTGTTTTCGTTCATATCTCTTGATTATAGTTTCGAAACTGTTTCTTTTAAACGGCAGAAGGAGGCGCTTTATTGTTTTAGTTGTGTTTCTGCAATTTGTTTTTGTATTTCCATTACAAAATAACGTTAAATATGACTGTTTTTCTTATACAACGTTAATTAATACGTTACACCATTGACTATGATTTTTTCGTATTCATCATTATGTCACTCCGTTGGATATAATATCAAAACTCCATATTTTTCAGCTATTGCGTTGTTATGATAAATAACAATAAAAATGATTCCCTGATTTTACGGACATGAATTGAAAATTAATGTCCGAAAATTACTCTTAATTAAAATTGATCACAAAGGCACGTCCAGCTGTGCTCCGTTGAATCATTAATGCATTTTTCTTGTCATTAAGTACTAGCTTTTAAAACTAACTAAAATATTAAAAACAAATTGGACCTGTTCTCGAAGTATTAATGAAAAATCAGACTATTATTGTGCATGTTTGCGAACTATTTGTAATATACCGATGGTGCAACTATTTCGCCAAACACGCGTGCGATTTTTAATTAATACTTCTTGACCCGAGTAATTCCTATACTAATCAGTATTCTTGAAAAAAATACTTATTTCTGATTGGCTAAGAGCAGTGCAATAATTTTTGAAATTTCGCACTGTGCAATTATTGCAGTGCAATTAGCAGGGTGATCCTGCAAACGAAGCAGAAAAAGTCAGCATGGCGGCAGTTAGGAAAATAAATTTGCAATTTTATGACGAATTCTGGAACAGTTTCAATGGAATATCCTGCGTGTTTGCATATAACAATTTAAGCGCATAGAGCTCATAATGACAGAAATGTTTGCTAACGTACAAACAATGGTTAAACGGCACAGATGAGTTCACAGTTGTTATCCAGCGAAACATGTAATTTTTTTCGTCAGTAATGGTTTCTCGCGCAATTTGGGACAACATACACTCGTGATTTGTCGTCCAAATGCACTTGTCCTTCGGATTTCTTCGAATTTGGTAACAACTCATTCGTCCATGTTTTTTTTGCTAATTGGAGTCGATACCATACTATATTACTTACATTCATGTATAGATGTAGCCTACACGCACCGGCATAAGCTTACGTACGTGCTCCCCGTAGGAACGGTGCATGTTAATGCAATTCAACAAAGAAAAGCTACAACACACTTACCATCTATTCTCGTGATAGGCAACGCAATCATCGTAAATTGGAAATCCTGGAAAAAATAATACAAATAGTGTTAACGAAAATTTTTTGTTCAACAAATTTACCACTGAAATTCCCCATACTCTCTATACTATCAAGTATGGGCTTCTACATCGTTTATACTGAACATTTGTATTATGCAGACGTAGGTCCAACAAACACAAACACAAAGACATAACATATATCCAGAAAAAGAAAATTATAAAGCAATTTAACAAGTGCGAAAAACTGTCCGGAAAAGTACGTACATTGGACAAGCATCTGAAAATATCCAAAACGCAATCAACTGGCGCGACCATATCTCACTCCCAGGTAGACACACAAACGACAACGGACATAAATTGGATTGGTCTCAAACAAGATGCCCAGGAAAGCAACAACAAATCATGCCCGAGAGTTGATGAATGGTGATATGCTTTAGGGGAACAAACATTTAATTGTCACATTGAAATCCCTATGTTTTGCATACAACTAAAACGCTCGCAGAGATCTCTTAATTAATCTTTATTAATTTTTAACTCACCCTCAACTTCTTTCTCTACACCGACTAATGATAACAATAATCATCCGCATTTAGTTGCAAGCAATGAGAGCAAACATACTGAAATTCATCAAGCAATCAGACGTTCCCGCAGACTTCAACAGCGTCAACAACAGGGCGAAATTTCAAGCTATCAATTTTTTTTATGAAGATTTGAAGTACCGAATCGAAAGCTCAATAATTATTCATTATAATCCAGAGATCGCTATTTTACAAATCTTCAAATCCAGATCGCAAAACAGATGACGAAATACCTCTCACCCAGTACCTGAGTTCTCGGTGGCGCAGTTACTTGTTAGCGCGATTATTTGCAGACTAAAGTCCGATTTTCACTACACAAAAAGACCTTATGGATAATGACGTCACAAGACTTGATGCTCGCGAGAAATGCTGGTCTTAGTAGTCATCGCCAGGGGAAACTTCGATAGTGGCCATTTTGAATTGTTTAATTTTTTCAGCCTGCGAGCAGGCTCTCTAGGGGAAAGAGAGCCTGCAAGGATCCCTCTAACGTTTAAGTGCATGTGTCCAATATTTGGACGAGGGGCTCTGATTGGTTAATAACTGATTAAAATTAAGTGATTGATAAGCTTCCATAAACTACACTTCCCGTTTGTAAAGCTTCGGAATTGCGGCAATATAGAGATAAAAGTATTTTGTATCCTTGACCTTGTTGACTTTTTACTGTAAATTAATATAGCTAGTATTCATATAAAGATGAATACTAAAAGCTTGCATGCATTCTTGAGTCCTGGGCTTGTCTGACTCCTAGGCTAAGAATAATTCTTGAACCTATTTAAATTAACTATAAAATTAACGGAAAGACTGAACAAATTCACAAACCGAAACCTACTAGGGACAAGGCATTATATCGCTTTATTGAGAATTATTCTGATAGTATTCAGTGCATATTCTGTGTATTTTATAAGTTTGTTTTACAATGTTACTGACTATTTAATATTCATAAGTATGCGGCGTTAAAATGTACAGTACGGTATTTACTTGTCACTTTGTTTACAATAATTATCACATGCATGTTTAATTCCACTTTTTGTGGCAGAACGTAATCTATAGACAAGTTATTAAATTATATCCATGGTATATCATATATGTCTTTGTCTCACCAAAGCCATATGAAATTTCAGTAAGTATATATTGCAGCAAGAAGCAATTGAATTAGTTAGCGGGTAATATACAACTTTAAACTTATTGTACCTGCAGAAACACATGCGGACTGTAATAAAAAGTACAACTTGATATATTACACTGTAAAACCTCTAGCTTTTAACATTTTTACGATTCCCCAGTGTATAAATGTAATTCAACGTTTATGTTTACAATATTGAAGTGTATTTCCGGTCTGCGCTGATTTGTTATTATTAATTGTTCTGTGACATCCTAATTTAAGAGCGGCACGCATTCATCATTGGGATCCTTGCAGGCTCTCTTTTCCCTAGAGAGCCTGCTCGCAGGCTAAATGTTTTCAGGCGAGGACTACTAAGACCAGCATTTCTCGCGGGCATCAAGCCTTGTGACGTCATTATGCATAAGTCTATTGTGCCTAAAACTGCCGGATACAACCTGCTTACAACTTCAGTTCTACTGTGTCAAATCAACCATACAGCGCGCCTACGCTGTCGTAGGTGAATTGTCTGCTTGATTTACACAGTACAACTCAAGTTGTAAGCAGGTTGTTACCGGCAGTTTTAGCAATAACCGCTTATGTGAGAGGCAATGCTATTATCAGTTTTGTGAAATCATCCCTCAAGCGATAAAACTGGTATCGCCTTGTCCCGATTATAAGAACATCTTTGTTATATACTTTTGCCATTATCAGGTTCAGAACTCTCTCCTCCGCAGAACCTCCTTAAGTATTTACAAATAACTTAGATGAAGTTTCCTGAATAAAAGTGAGCGCGCGCGGTGTGATGGGTAGATTGAAATGAAGTTGGGAAGGCTCTGCCAGATAATGCGACGAAGTATGGTTTTTAAACCAAACTAGCTGTTTCACCTTTTTTTAAACTTGAAAAAGACGGAAATGTGAAAGGAATTGAAATGAATCTTCATAATCTGAGTATCGAAGTTCAATAGAATCATTTTTATAACGAAATGTTGCAATTAAGAGGATATTTATAATTAGATAGCTCGTATCCATTGATATTCGTTTGCAATTTCTCAATATTTTTCTATGCAAATGACATAAGAAGATATTGATATTTAGTTCATCCCAGGATACTCAAGTACGCCTGAAAATGAAAGTCGAAAACGTATTTTAACGCCCTCGATGGTTAATCGAACTTCGCTACAAACGATTATATACGACGCCATATTGATTGCATTAACTCGGAGAGGCTTCCTTTATTTAGATCTTCCCATCACTCCTTGCGCGCTCACTTTTTTCTCACTAGAAACTTCATGTAAATCTCTGCGGAGGAAAGAGGTTTCAAAAAATCGTAACTGCTGCTCAATAAAATTCTAATTTGTGGCTATTGGCAACGATCGGAAATCCACTTTGGATTCCACTATGCGTGCGGAAACCTATATTTGCCAGGACACCAATGCCCTAGCGGCTAAAGGTCCATACACACCGAACGCGATTGGACAACGCGACGCGATTTTTCGATTTTCACTGACCGATAACTTTGATCATAGTTTAAATTTTACAAATATTTCGAAGCGCTGTAACATTTTGAGTTATTTGGTCTACATATCTTTTAAAATTTGCTCTCATTGGTTGTTTTATTAACTTTCAAAAACTAAAAAATCGCGTCGTGTTGTCGAATCGCGTCCGGTGTGTATGGACCTTTAAAAGCCAAAGAGGAATGTTTCAATAGAATGTCTGAGATGCATGGTGATCAGATTTGTAGCTACATAAAAGCTGAGATAATGATTTTGTTTCTTACTTTGCAGCTTGGAACGGATTTTGTAATTTTCAAATTTGAATTTCGTTAAAAAATAACAAAAGTAAATGGATAATCGAGCACATCATGTATATACCGTAATTACAAAAAAACCCCTCTTTTTAAAAAACCCCTCTTTTTATGTTTTCTTTCGTAGTTGAGAAATCGAGTTTGCGTTAGCTCATCGCAGGCTCAGGGTGCAACGATTAAGCCAAAGTGTCATTGGTTCCATGACTTATATACTAAAGTAACAAGCTCGTATTTATGTACATAATAGCCGGCTCAAGCCATGCTTTTGGTACACTTTTTGTTTATTAGCCCATACACTTGTACCCACGCGCACAATTCCGAAGTCCAAAGATAGAATGCTCCAGTGACAAGTTCAGTTTCAAAATGGCTGCTTTTCACTGAGCCATATAATATATATTTCACACACTTTCGTTGAATTTTCAAAGAATTGTACCGCTTTCCTATTGAAAATACGTCGTGTCGTACTGAGGACTCTCTTGCGTGTTGAATTAATATGTTTTTCTTTGTGTAACGACTCGAGGACCTCAAAATTTGGACCCAGCGAATTTATACAATGTAGTGAAATATAAACAAGGACAAGTTTAAGGTTTGACAGTTTGACTTTTTATTTAATAACAAGTACAAATATACCTTGTAGACTCATAAACATGCTTGTGCACTTGTGTTCATTTGCATAATTATAGATTTGCACCTAATTACATCAATTTGCACCAAATTACTTTCCAGTTCATCACATATTACTATAAAAATGTATTTTTTCGATTGTATTCAGCGAGGTGGCGTTGCGTGTAGCGAAGTGAATTAGTGAAACGAGGTACGATTCGATTTGTTTTTGGAACAAGATCCAACTCCCCCCCCCCCCC